CGCCGCCGCACTTCCCAAGCGGCGCACTATCCAGTGCGCCACTGGGCCGGCCCCTACATTTCTTTCTTTTTTAATTTTACTTCTCAAAATACATTGTAGTTGATTTTCATGCCCCTTTACCCATTCCTCTCCAACCATCCCACAATGTATCTGTTCACTTGACTTAAATAGTTCAAGGAATTTTTGTGGTTATTCTGTCTTTTTCCACCCCACCACCCTTTATTTCTTTGTATGTTTATTTATTTGTTTGTTTTTAGTTCCCACAAGTAAGTGAGAACATGTGATATTTCTCTTTCTGTGCCTGACTTGTTTCACTTAATATAATTTTCTCTAAGTCCATCCATGTTGTTGTAAATAGTAGTATTTCATTCTTTTTTATAGCTGAGTAGTATTCCATTGTGTAGATATACCACAGTTTCCATATCCACTCATCTGATGATGGACATTTGGGCTGGTTCCAGCTCTTGGCTATTGTAAGTAGAGCTGCAGTAATCATTGGAGTGCAGGTATCCCTTTGGCATGATGATTTCCATTCCTCTGGGTATATTCCCAGCAGTGGGATAGCAGGATTATATGGTACGTCTATTTGCAATTGTTTGAGGAACCTCCATACCATTTTCCATAGAGGCTGCACCATTTTGCAGTCCCACCAACCATGTATGAGACTTCCTTTTTCTCCACAACCTCACCANCAGCTCCTTTGCCCATTTTTTAATTGGGTTATTTGTTTTTTTGCTGTAAAGTTGTTTGAGTCCCTTATGCCCCTTATCATCTCTCCCCATCCCCCCTTTCCTCCCCACTCCCACCTCTGATAACCCTAGATGATTTCTTTCCTTCTGAAAGAGTAACAGTTACTCTGTTGATTTGTTGCCTAGATGATCTGTCCAGTGCTGACAAAGGTGTGTTCAGGTCCCCCACTATTATGGTAGAGCAAATGCTTCTTCTATCACTCTGGAATGGGCTTTGTGGAGAGAGACATCCACTTCTTTTCTTAGTGTCCACTGGCGACTCTCCTTGTGTCAGTGTACTCAGTGGCTGGCAGGCCATCTGCATGGTGGTTGTGGCATGTAGCTGCTTTTGTGGCAGCTGTGGTTATTGTGGTGGCTGTGGTGGGCCACCCACATGGAGGTGATATTTTTGGTGTGCTCCTTGTGGGTGGTTTCAGGAGGAGGGGTTGGGCCCCAGATCTATGGCTGAGGATGCTGGGTGGGCCTTGTGGCAGCAACGGCATGCCTGGTTGCGGGCAGAGGGGTTGGTCCCTGGCTCTGTCTGGTTTTACATTCTAAGTTGTTGTTGTGGAGCAGTTGGGTGGGAGGGGGAGAGGGGAAGGGGAAGACAACAGAGTGGGAGAAGGAGGAAGGAGGGGTGGTGTGGTTGAGGCCCATGGCACAACCCTCATTCCTTCAGGGGAGACCAGGGGGCTTCCAGCGGTGGCTTGGTCATTGCTTGGCTGAATGCAGATGTCAGGTGGGTGTGGTTGAAGCCCTTGGACCCCCCACTGCCCTGGCTCAGGAGACCAGGAGGCTTCCTGTGGTGGTTCAGTGGTTGTTGCTGGGCTGGGTGCAGGTGTTGGGGGGCATGGCTGGGGCCCTCAGTCCCCCACTGCCCCAGCTTGGGAGCCCAGGGCACTTCCTGCAGCAGCTCGGTGGTCACCACGGGGCTGGTTGTGGGTGTTGGGGGCATGTCTGAGGCCTCCAGTCCACCCACTCCCTGGCTTGGGGGCCCAGGGGGTTTCTGGTCCATCTAGGTTTTATAGGTGTTCTTTGATGAAGTGAGACCTTTACTAGTTAATATCAAACTTTGTCTCTGGTCTTTGGTTATTTTGTTTTATCTCAGTTCTGTGTTGGATTATTTGCTGTTCCCACCATTTAAACTCTGCACTGGAACTAATTTGTTGTCCTTTACTTACTTCTAAAATGGGGAAACTTCCTGTGGGGACCAGCACTTGAGCCTTGTGGTTGAACTAAATTGCTGCTTTGCTGCTGATTCCCTGGGGAAGGCTTTCTGTGCAGCTCAGGTTTCAATGATTGACTTNTTCAGTGGTTGTTGCTGGGCTGGGTGCAGGTGTTGGGGGGCATGGCTGGGGCCCTCAGTCCTCCACTGCCCCAGCTTGGGAGCCCAGGGCACTTCCTGCAGCAGCTCAGTGGTCACCACGGGGCTGGTTGCGGGTGTCGAGGGCATGTCTGAGGCCTCCAGTCCACCCACTCCCTGGCTTGGGGGCCCAGGGGGTTTCTGGTCCATCTAGGTTTTATAGGTGTTCTTTGATGAAGTGAGACCTTTACTAGTTAATATCAAACTTTGTCTCTGGTCTTTGGTTATTTTGTTTTATCTCAGTTCTGTGTTGGATTATTTGCTGTTCCCACCATTTAAACTCTGTACTGGAACTAATTTGTTGTCCTTTACTTACTTCTAAAATGGGGAAACTTCCTGTGGGGACCAGCACTTGAGCCTTGTGGTTGAACTAAATTGCTGCTTTGCTGCTGATTCCCTGGGGAAGGCTTTCTGTGCAGCTCAGGTTTCAATGATTGACTTTGTAGGTACTTCTGGGTCTCGTGAGATCTAGTGTAC